ATAGAAGTAAATGAGAAAATCATATTGTAAGCTCTATTGTTTTCCCTAAAATGTCTAGCGATTTCATCATTACTGGTTAGCAAATACCACAACAATTCAGGCGAGTCCTTTAGGAAAGGTAAGACTATCTGTCCTTGCATACAACACCCTGAGAACTTTGGATTTTTTGTTTTCCTCCTCTTGTTTAGGCGTTCCCCATACCAAAAAATAGCACCACACTCGCTACAACTAAAGATTGGATCACCTTCATCAACATAAGCTGAATAAAAAATAATCAAATATAGTTAGATCTTACTATAGTAATTCTATTTGCTATTCAACAATATATTACAAAAATTGGAATAATACCATTTTTTTGCTTAGGTGGAATGACAGGGGTTTCCTTAGGTTTACCAAAAGCATTTTCTAACATAGTAAGTATGTCAAAACGTTCTTTAGCTCGATGGATTGCTTCTTTCGGGTTATAAGCACATTCTTTAGCATAGTCATCTTCATCTGATGAAGAATCCGTAGATAATTCTTCTTGACTGCTGCAATATAAATCTTCTTGGTAGTTGTCTTCATATTCTCCTGTTATTATTTGGACATTAGAAATAAGAATATCTGCTTGAGTATGATATTTTAAAATTTTCTCTGACCTTCTGTGGAGTCTTGATAATCTGAGAAATGATCATCTTCATCTGTATCTGTATTGAGATCATTATCCTCCATAAAATCATGATGAGAATCAAGGAAATCATCAGTAACAGAATCCTTTTGTAATGTTAACACGGATCCTGAAGGATTATCTGATACAAATTTTATGATAAAATATGGATAGTTAGTATGAACAAATAGCAACATGGATTTGTTATATATGAAATCTGGATCCATTATTCCAAAAAAATGCATTCTAACATGAAAATTTACCTTTGTTTCTGTGATTTGCCGCAGAAGCTCCGGAAATATCATCATTTTGCGAATAAGAAGATTCAGCAAGATATGAGGAGTCATCGATTATTGTTGAGGTTAGCTGAGATTTATTGAATAGACTTCCTGACACTTTGAATAAGATTTATCGTGTTAGCTTAATTTGAATCATTAAAATATTACATATAATATCTTTAGACTGTCATACAACAATGAAGAATATGACTTACATGGAATAGGGGAGAGATTTCTTGCTTTTTTAGAAGAAGGAGCTTGATATGGATTGTTTGAAACATTTTCCTGGCCTCTTGCAGTGGAACATGAAAAAGTTATTTGGTCAGATGCTGATAGTCCAGAGCTATTGCGTGGTGAGTTAGATATATCTGTTAAAACTCTTCTAAATACAGAGTTTATTGCAATAGCAGTTTTGGTATGACTTTCTACTGAAGGTGGAACGTAATTTTCACCAAGTACATTAGATGTTAGTCTTTTTCTTTTAGGAGTTGGAGTGACTTCAGGAGAACTTAGACCATTTGCATTATCATCATTTTCCATTATGAGTTGGTTTCCTGTTGAACAGAAAAGGTTTTTGTTCTAAACATGATTAGTTTGCAAACCAATTTTGCAATTATAAAACTATGTGTGGAATAAATGTTAGTAGTTACATAAAAAAAGACATAGAATATTTAGCATAGCTCTATGACAGGCTATCCAAATATTAATACCTTGAGATGTAATGGCTTTCTAGATACTCTGTAGAGTATTTCCTATGACATTCCTTCAGAACTAAAAAAATTTGAAGTGTTCAAGTGTTTTTGCAATTGAGCAGAAGAATGACTCTCGACCAACAATAATTATAAACGACTCAAGGAAAGTAATATCCTCATTAGATTTCTCAAGATATTCCATAACACTTAATAATTAAATTGGTTGAGTAAAGTTAATATTCTCTCTTATCTGTTATTAACTAAATCTATACCTTTTTGATACACATTGATATTGGATGATAAGAAGAGCTATAACTGATTACATTAGGTATGTTCATCTCCTTAATGTAAAGGTATGTATAGTCTTGGAAGCCACGTTCAGTTTTGATTATTTTTCCTAAGCAGCAAATATTTTTTCACATAAACCTTTCAATTTAAGCAAAATAAAAGAAAAACAGATAAACATAAGAAAAGAAGGTAGAACATAAGAGTCTAATTTTACAAATAGGAAAATAGCACATTGCATAATAAAAGTTAACAAAACAAAGCCTTAAAAGAAAGTCCAAATTAGAATATAACATAGGAGGAGTTTTCTTGATTTATAAATGGCCACGCCTTTAAATTTATAATCTGAATTCAAAAAATTATATTGAGAACTTTTTTAAAATATTGAGAACACGTTTTTGTTTATTTGTTTTTCAAGATGATAGTGATTTGTTTATTTTCGTTTTTTTACAGTGAATGATTATTTGAAAAGAAATTTTGCCTTATTGGTGTAGTATCTTTTATGAATATGGAATATTAACCAAAAAAATATAAAATCTTTTTTTTGGTAACATTTCCAAATCATCATGGCAATGTAATTTATATTACAAAAAAGAGTAGAATAATATAAAACAATAAATAACTATAATGTTATAATGCAAGTAGTTAAATTGACTCAATAAGAGAATCAAAGTAACAGAATGTTATGTTGCAAGGATAATATATTTTTGTCACATAGTTCCAAAAGAGTTCAATACAAAAATAAAACATAACAACTAAAATAGAAAAAAGGAATGAAACTAAAACATCCAGGGAAATGCTCCTCCATTTACTTGTTCTCTTCAACCAATTCCATCATCAGATCATCTTCATCATCATCAGTGAAGCTACGACTGTGGAAAAACCAAAACCAATTTAGTGTATCACATATTAAATTGATAGTATATTTATAATAAGTCTAAATTACACTTACATATATCGTGGAATATCTAAGTCATAGAAAGTTGGATTGAGGTACAAACGCGAACAACTAAATTCGCTGAGCAAGACATTTTTGCCTATAGCACAATTATAAAAGATATATTTTAGAAATATATACTATTTGAAATACATAAGAGAGTATAATTAAAAGAATGGGACAAAGAGTTTGAAAAACTAACCATGATACTCTGTGATTCTCTAGTTGCGAAGTACAGCCACAATTGGTTCATTATTATATGTAATGGCGTCGACCTTATCAGACCACTTGGTGATAAAGAAATCACACATCTTACTAACAGCAATGCACTTGATTATACAACCCCTAAAAAAATGTTCCATTAATAGAATTCTGTAAATTCTATTTGCATATCATAGCTATTAGATCTTACAAATATGACAAAACTTAGAAATAGTAAAGCTTACATATTGTCCATGATCTTAAAAGCCACATATCTTGATTCATTGTCTGACTCTCCATGACGACAGACATAAGGAAAGCTCATCACACCGGAGACAGCAGAAATCACACCGATAGCATCTAAATTATAAAAATGAACAAAATAAACAAAATGTAATCAGTAAACTAATATCATGGAGTTCGAGAGAAATAAATTTAATCATTGTCTTACCAGTCACAACTTCTTTATTCGATTCCATAGCATACTTGACTTCAATAGGGAAAACAAAATCGAAAAAGTTACTCCATGATCTCTCTTTCACAGGCCACATTCCTGTTTCTGAAATAAACCTGATTTCAATTGGAGAGGATGTATATCTGATGCTGCTCCCGGGTTGGATAACCTGGAAATCAGACATGTGATACCACTTTCCTTCTTTCAGCACTCGTTGAAAATTCCAAAGGTATGTCCCAGATGGAATCCTTGCCTCGATGCTTCTACACTACAGAATCAAAACATTAAAAATATGAGTTTTACAAAAAATAAAGATAATTTAAATGCAAGGTAAAAGTAAACAGAAAGTGAAACAAAAGCTTGATACCTTTTCATATACCAGAATCATGATTGTTTCAGAACCAGCAGAACCCAAATCATGTTCCCACATACACATGATCTTAACACAAATCCTCCATGTCGTCGAGTTTACATGCAAATCAGATAAACTGTGAACAGACTCCATGGGATATACACGTTTGTTTCTTTGCATTGAATAGAAAAGAGTCGATGGTTTCTGTGGTTATTTTAAATGAAAATATAGGTGTATATATACGAATATGACTGAACAGATTCAAAGAATACAGTTTGAAATAGATATGGAAATATGAATCGTTTGGATGTGTTATTTAGATATATTTCATTTTTATTATTTAAAAATTTGAGGTAAATAATGATTAAGAATGATTCTTTTTTTCTAAAACAACTAAAAACCTTTTTAGAAAACAAATGATTGCTTATAATCACAGTTTCCATAAATGTAGGTGTTCCAAGATACTCAAAATTGAATCCGGATTCAAGATAAATTACCAGCAAGTTGTTGGAATATCTTGTTATGGATTTAGGATATAAATTAGACATTTTATTGTTATTAAAATTACAAAATTATATCAACAGATTTAGTAAGAATCTAAACTGAAATACAACTGATTCCACTGAGATTTCCTATTAATGAAATGTTTGTTGATTTATTTATAGGATTATACTAAAGCAGTTAAACTAATTGGATAAAGATCAGTCTGGACAAAGCCGTTAAAAAAATCTATAATCCTTTAAAGTAATCCTACAAACTTTTATTGCATTTACAATGGTTTTAGGATTATAGATAGTATCTAAAGTATAAGAAATAAGTTTTCTCTTTTTTGTTAGATATACCGGAGAAAGAATATTTATTAGTCATGGTTTCTTCTCCAAGATCCCATTTGATATGGACATATGAAATTAGGCCATAATTAAGAGTTCTCTTATAAGCTTTGGCTTAAAGAGTAATTCTAGAATATATAATGTTAGGAGGGTAGAGCAAATAATCAAATTAAATACAACCAAATGATAAACCATGACTAATAAAACTCGTAGATAGAAATTGAAACTAAGGATAAAATGTTTGAAAAGTTATTGTTTGAAAAACAAAAACCTAAAAAATAAGATAGAAATGTAAGAAAGATACTTAATAGAAAATAAAAATTCAATCCATCAGATAAACTTTATTTTAGATCGTTGAGTATTCCCTCCCTCACTTTGCTCCCTTCTGACCTTCGATCTTCTCAACCTTAATCTTCTTCAAAAGAACTTTCTTCTGTTCTGCTTCACTGACTTTGGTGATGGCTTCTTGACCTGCCTCATCAAGTTTGTGTAGAAACTTAGGCTGATCATGTTCCTTCGGATTGTCTAAGTCAACGACACCATCGACTTTAAGATCAGTAGGCTGATCATTTTTCTTCGAATTGTCTACACCAATGACACCATTGTCTTTAGCATCAGATTGTTTTCCAGTGCATTGTTTCTTGCTTGTGGAGTTTTGATCATATCCATCCGAACCATCTTCTTTTCTCTTTGATGATGGTGTAGACAGTGAAGTATTAATAGTCTCATCCTTATCAGAACTATTAGTCAGCATCAAAACCTAAAACAAAATGAATTTTTATTTAGGCGAGTAAGGAACAATAAAGATCATCATATCATATAAATCACACTGAAAATATTAAAATGTATTACCTGGTCACTGGAACTCATGGATGAAAGATCCACAGGATAATCAACTTCAGCTTTAAGGTCAGCTTGATTGAGGTTCTGACTTGTTAAAACCTCATTCACTTTGTATTCATCATTTCCTCTTGAGATGTTGTCTTGCTCAACACAGACTACGAACTGGTAAGTCTTTCCAATGATATTTTTAACTATATCAGGAACTGGGAGAGGGTCATCAAGTTCCTGTATAAAGTATAGATATTAGATTATAATTTACCAAGAAAAGAATGGAGATAAATGCAAGTAATCACTAATTACAGCTTCATTAGTGCCCTCCAAGAGTTCAGTAGCAGGAGTTCCGATAATTTGCTCAACAAAACTATCAAACAACATAAGTTTGCTCTCCCCTGTGATGTCCATAACGTCTAGA